AGGGCTCTCTCAGATTGACACCTCTCTCACACTGGGCCCTTCTCTCGCTCCTGCCCCCTTCGCAAGTGCGACTTGTGGGGACGAGGGAGAGGGCCTTCTCTGTGGTGGCCCTTCGGCTCTGGAACTCGCTCCCCAAAAAAATTAGGCAAGCCCCCACCCTGGCAGTCTTCAGGGAGAGCCTGAAAACTTGGCTGTTCCAGTGTGCCTTCAATGAATGTATGAACAATAATCCCCTGACCTGACCAATCCCTGCCTAAATGCCCTTGGAAGCACTTTATTTTACCTGTTAGAGGTCGTCCCTTGGACCCCCCTTTCCAGATACATTACATTATATTGCTCTCTCACCCAGTGTTTTTAAACTCTTAATCCTTGTAACCGGCCCTGCCCACTATGATTAATTTTTAGTGTTAAAATATTTTGATTTTAGATGGTCTGATATGTTTATTTATAATATTTCTAGTATTTTATTTGATTTTTATTTTTTATTCTATTGTTGTATTGTTATGTTGTATATTTGCATTGTTGTATTGCTGGGCTTGGCCTCATGTAAGCCACCCCGAGTCCCTTTGGGGAGATGGTAGCTGGGTATAAATAAAGTTATATTATTATTATTATTATTATTATTATTATTATTATTATTATATTACTCATACTGAGGCCTTTCTCCCACTGAGGTCTCTCTCTCACTCTGAGGCAGACTAACACTGAGGCCTACTCATACTGAAGCCTTCTCACACTGAGGACCTGTTTGATGGGAGGCTACCAATGAAGACCATGTGCTGAAGGCGATATTTCAGAGGAAATGGCAAAAATACCTCTGAGTGTTGCTTGTCTAAGAAGTGCTATGGGATTTATAGGGTCACCATAAGTTTACAAGGGACTTGAGCCCATAGATAAACAGAGAGAGAGAGAGAGAAAGTATGTATGTATATGGGATGAACAAACCAACATACATACATACAGACTCAGAGGTATTTTTGCCAGTCCCTCTGAAATACCACCTTCAGCTCCTGGTCTTCATTGGCAGCCTCCCATCAAACAGAGCCTCAGTGTGAGAAGGTCTCAGTATGAGTAGGCCTCAGTGTTAGTTTGCCTCAGGCTCTTATATGGCTTGATGGATCTGGACCAGACTGAACAAATAGACAGACAGACAGACATAAGTAAGGGGAATCAGAAACATTATTGTATTCCAGGACAGGAAAAGCCCTCTGACTTTAAACACCACACCGTTGGATGGAAAACAATCCTTTTATTGAAGATAATTAAAAAACAGTAAAGTAAAAAAAAAACACTTTAAAGAAATGGGTAAATCCAATTAGGTAGAAAGATAAGCAAGAACAAAGTCGTCCCGGGTAATAGTCCAGCAAAGTCCATAAAAACAAAGTCAAAACTTCCCAAATAAAATGCAAGAAATCAGGAAACACGAATCCAAGGCATGAATATAGAAGCATAGATCAAAACCACGAAACAAAGGCACTTAAAACATGAATTTTCCAAGCAAAGTTTCCATGAACAAAGATGAGATCTTGACTTGATTCCAAACGATGCTTCATCTGACTACATATCCTGTACTTGGGACTTTTATCTCCTCATTACCTATGTCTCTAGCACTCAGAAATTGGTTTTGCTTTAGCTGAGAATTTCTTATCTTTTTCTCTCGGAGCCTGGCAGACCGCCGAAGCCACTGTTTGGCTCTCCTGTTTTGACTGATCTCCTCCTGTCTATCTATTTGTTCATTAATTTCTGCCGAGCTGTTTTCATGTTCCCTATCATGGGAACTCTCTGGTAACAATTCAGAAAGCACGCCATCATCCCCACACTCCTCAGGGACATTCTCACGGGAAACTACACTTTGAACAGGGATCTCCTGGTATTTCTCTGGCCAAACGGTTGCCATCTTGAAACTCATCCTGCAACTCATTGACATCACTCCCCACATCCAAAGCACCTTGATCCTGAAACACAATCCCAGGCTGAGCTCCAACAAACATAAACCTATATTAAAGATACACTTTCTAACAAAAGATATTTGGGGGGTGTAGTGTTCTATCTTTATTGTATGGTTCTTTTTCGGTTTCCAAAACTTGGGGAAGGTCTCAAAGCAGACGTGTTAGCCAAGTAATGCAGCCTGACGAGGATTCATCTTAAAGCGGAGGCAATTGCCCAACGCAGGCGCTCTTTCGCGGCTCCGGAGGCGTACCTCTCCCCAAAAGCGTGCCCCATCTTGCCCGGCCGCCTTCCTCTGGCTCCACTTTGGCTCTCCGAAAGGTATTCCCAGCCAAGCCTTCTCCAGAGATGGAGGACATTCTCCTCCGGGGCTCCCATAAAAAAAATTGTTGTCACAAGAATGTGAGTGTGTGGTTTATTAGTCCAGAATTATTATTATTTTTTTGTATCTTCAACAAGGGCTTTCAACTTCACTTGGGATATATGATTCTCAGTCATCTTTCTCAGCTGTTCAGCAAACATATTCTGAAAACCTTATCAAGGCTATAATCTTATTTATAATGATTTTCGCTTCCTGGGTAGTATATATTGATTTAATGGCATTTATAAAGTAATATCCAGCATCTATTTCTTTGAGCAAAAATAATTTAAAAAAAACTACCGATCCCCTGCTACACGTTGCTGTGGCCGACATGGGGGTTCTATGTGGGAGGTTTGGCCCAATTCTTGGCAGTGGAACTCTCTGCCCCGGAGTGTGGTGGAGGCTCCTTCTTTGGAAGCTTTTAAACAGAGGCTGGATGGCCATCTGTCAGGGGTGATTTGAATGCAATATTCCTGCTTCTTGGCAGAATGGGGTTGGACTGGATGATGGCCCAGGAGGTCTCCTCCAACTCTTTGATTCTATGATTCTATGAATTCTATCGGTGGGGTTCAGAATGCTCTGTGATTGTAGGTGAACTATAAATCCCGGCAACTACTACTCCCAAATGTCAAGATTCTATTTTCTCCAAACTCCACCAGTGTTCACATTTGGGCATATTGAGTATTCGTGTAGAGTTTGGTCCAGATCCCCCATTGTTTGAGACCACAGTGCTCTCTGGATGTAGGTGAACTACAACTCCAAAACCAAAGGACACTGCCCACCAAACTCTTCCAGTATTTTCTGTTGGTCATGGGAGAACTGTGTGTCAAGTTTGGTTCAATTCCATCGCTGGTGGGGTTCAGAATGCCCTTTGATTGTAGGTGAACTATAAATCACAGCAACTACAACTCCCAAATGACAAAATCATTTTTTTTTAGTGAAGAACATACATTGGGTTGTTAGGTGTCGTGTGTCCAAATTTGGTGTCAATTCGTCCAGTGGTTTTTGAGTACTGTTAATTCCACAAACAAACATTACATTTTTATTTATATAGATTCCAATTAACACTATCGAAAGCTTTCTCTGCATCTATCAATATAAATGCCAGTTCTTTCTGGTTGTTGGCTTCATAGTATTCCAATAAGTTGATTATCGTTCTCACATTATCTTTGATGTTTCTTTGGGGGAGGAAGCCTGTTTGGTCATATTTAATCCAATTTTTGAGGTAAGATTTTAGTCTCTCCGCTAAGATGTTGGTGAAAATTTTGTAGTCCAAATTCAGTAAGGAATTCGGTCGATAGTTCTTTACATCTGATGGATCTGTGTTTTCTTTGTGGAGCATTGTTATATTAGCTTCTTTCCAGGTATCTGGTATTTTCTGATTCTTTGCCCGGCTTATTTGGAAAAGTCGATTCTTTGATTGTCCAAAATGCATAAGGTTGTGGGTGAACTACAACTCCCATCATGCCAGGTAAACCCCCTGAAACTCCATCAGTACTTAAAGTTGGTTATGTTGGGCAAGTTTGTGGTAGATGTGTCATCAGTGGAGTTTGCTGTGCTCTCTGGCTGTAGGGTAAACTACAACTCCCACTATGGTGAACCAGTACCCTCAAACCCCTTTAGTAGGTTGAGTTAGCCATGAAGGTTAGCCAAGTTTGGTCCACGTTTGTCGTCAGTGGAAGTCACGTTTCTCTGGTTGTGGCTGAACTACAACTCCCATTATGCCAGGTTAACCCCCTGAAACTCCATCAGTATTTAAAGTTGGTTATGTTGGGCAAGTTTGCAGTAGATGCATCATCAGTGGAATTAGCTGTGCTCTCTGGCTGTAGGGTAAACTACAACTCTCACTATGGTGAACTAGTCCCCTCAAACCCTAGTAGGTTGAGTTAGCCATGGGGGTTCTGTGTGCCAAGTTTGGTCCACGTCTGTTATCGGTGGAAGTTAGTTTCCCTGGTTCTGGGTGAACTACAATTCCCATTATGCCATGTTAACCCCCTGAAACTCCCTCAGTACTTAAAGTTGGTTATGCTGGGCAAGTTTCCTCCAGATGCATCATTGGTGGAGTTCGCTGTGCTCTCTGGCTGTAGGGTAAACTACAACTCTCACTATGGTGAACTAGTCCCATCAAACCCTAGTAGGTTGAGTTAGCCATGGGGATTCTGTGTGCCAAGTTTAGTCCATGTCTGTCATTGGTGGAAGTCAGAGTTTCCTGGTTGTGGGTGAACTACAACTCCCAGAAATTAAGGTCAGCCCCCCCCCCTCCCCCCAAAAAAACCTCTCCAGTAATCAAATTTTAGCATATTGGGTATGTGTGACAAGTTTGGCCCAGATCCATCAGTGTTTGGGTTCACACTGCTCTCTGGATGGAGGTGAACTACAACTACCCCAAATCAAGGTGAATTTCCCCCAAAGACCTCCAGGATTTTTTGCTGGTCATGGGGACTCTGTGTGCCAAGTTTGCTCCAATTCCATCTTTGGTGGAGTTCAGGGTTCTCATTGATTGCAGGTGAACTATACATCCCAGTACCTACAACTCCAAAATGTCCAGGCTCATTTCCCTCAAAATCGACCAGTATTCAAATTTGGGCATATCAAGTATGTGTGTAGAGCTTGGTCCAAACCCATCATTGTTTGGGTTCACAGTGCTCTTGGGATGTAGGTGAACTATAAATCCTTTCTTTTCCCTGCTTAGGATGGACCGCATGACGGAGGACGCCCTGCGCCTGAACCTCTTGAAGCGGAGCCTGGACCAAGCCGAGGAGCGGGATGACGTCCTGGCCAAGCGACTGAAGATGGAGGGCCACGAAGCCATGGAGCGGCTGAAAATGCTGGCGCTGCTCAAGCGGAAGGACCTGGCGGGCATCGAGGTGCCCCACGAGCTGCCGGTCAAGCAGGACGGGCTGAAGGTCTACGAGGAGAAGCTCAACGGGAACCTGCGGCCACACACCGACGGACGCTCCTCGGCCAGGCCGGGCAAGGAGAACATCAACGACGAGCCGGTGGACATGAGCGCAAAGAGGAGGTAAGGGGGAGACTTCATCAAAAGGAGGGAGGAAGAGGGTATGTTCGAGGAAAGGTGGGACTGCTTGTGAATGATGAGATAGTCAGTTAGGACTGGCAAGGAGACTAGTCCAATGTGGGCTAGGCAAAACTACGGTGAGGTGGATCTGTAATTGGTTAAGTGGACGAACACAGAGAGTGCTCACTAATGCTTCCTCTTCATCTTGGAAAGAAGTGACGAGTGGAGTGCCGCAGGGTTCCGTCCTGGGCCCGGTCCTGTTCAGGATCTTTATTAACGACTTAGATGAAGGGCTAGAAGGCAGGATCATCAAGTTTGCAGACGACACCAAATTGGGAGGGAGAGCCAAGACTCCAGAGGACAGGAGCAGAATTCAAAACGATCTTGACAGATTAGAGAGATGGGCCAAAACTAACAAAATGAAGTTCAACAGTGACAAATGCAAGATACTCCACTTTGGCAGAAAAAACGAAATGCAAAGATACAGAATGGGTGAGCCTGGCTCGAGAGCAGTACGTGTGAAAAAGATCTTGGAGTCCTCGTGGACAACAAGTTAAACATGAGCCAACAATGTGATGTGGCGGCAAAAAAAGCCAATGGGATTTTGGCCTGCATCAATAGGAGCATAGTGTCTAGATCTAGGGAAGTCATGCTCCCCATGCTCTATTCCGCTTTGGTTAGACCACACCTGGAATATTGTGTCCAGTTCTGGGCACCACAATTCAAGAGAGATATTGACAAGCTAGAATGTGTCCAGAGGAGGGTGACTAAAATGATCAAGGGTCTGGAGAACAAGCCCTATGAGGAGCGGCTTAAGGAGCTGGGCATGTTTAGCCTGAAGAAGAGAAGGCTGAGAGGAGATATGATAGCCATGTATAAATATGTGAGAGGAAGCCACAGGGAGGGAGGGAGCAAGCTTGTTTTCTGCTTCCTTGGAGACTAGGACGCGGAACAATGGCTTCTAACTACAAGAGAGGAGATTCCATCTGAACATGAGGAAGAACTTCCTGATTGGGAGAGCCGTTCAGCAGTGGAACTCTTCCCCGGAGTGTGGTGGAGGCTCCTTCTTTGGAAGCTTTTAAACAGAGGCTGGATGGCCATCTGTCAGGGGTGATTTGAATGCAATATTCCTGCTTCTTGGCAGAATGGGGTTGGACTGGATGGCCCAGGAGGTCTCTTCCAACTCTTTGATTCTATGATTCTATGATTGTTGTGTGCCTTCCACACTCCATCGTTGCCAGGAGGCAGGATTAGAACGCCGCTCTGGGCCATGGCAACCATTCATAAACTGGGAGGCAAAAATAATAATAAATAATAATAATAAAACTTTTTTTTATACCCCGCTACCATCTCCCAAGGGACTCGGTGTGGGTTTCATGAGGCCGAGCCCACAATACATCAGTAATAAAAACAATAACAACAGTAATACAAACAATAAAATAAAACTCATAACAAAAAATAAGCAATAAACATTAACAGTAACACAACGACGTTTAAAAGACCTATGGCTGGGCCAAATGTAATAATTAAAATTTTATAAATAATGCTGAGCATGAACAGGTGAAATATGACTAGGATACAATTTTCGGAGAGGGATGGGGCGTGCAGACAATCCTAGATCATTAATAAAGTGCATTTAAGGACATATTGCTGGGAGTTTCCTTATTCTGGGAAGGCACGCTGGAATAACCACGTTTTCAGGCTCCTCCTAAAGACTACCAGAGTTGGGGCATGCCTGATGTCCTTAGGGAGTGAGTTCCAGAGTCGAGGGGCCACCACAGAGAAAGCCCTTTCCCTCGTCCCCACCAATCGCGCCTGCGATGGAGGTGGGAGCGTGAGCAGGGTCTCTCCAGATGATCGAAGAGATCGTGTGGGTTCGTACAGAGAGATGCTGTCACGCAGGTAGGCGGGTCCCAACCCATTCAGGGCTTTGTAGGTCAGAACCTGCACCTTGAATTGGGTCCGGAAGATGAACGGCAGCCAGTGGAGTTCCTTAAACAGGAGGGTTGACCTCTCCCTGTAAGGAGCACCAGTTAACAACCTGGCCACCCCCCGTTTTACCAATTGGAATTTCCAGGCCATTTTCAGGGGCAGCCCCACATAGAGTGCATTACAGTAGACTAAGGCATGGACCACCCTGGCCAGATCCGCCTTCACGAGGTACGGTCACAGTTGGCACATGAGTCTTAATTGTGTAAAGGCCCTCCCGGCCACCGCCGACGCCTGCCAACCTATCCCCCGATCCGGTTTACAATCGACCAGGAGAACCTCTGTCTTGTCGGGATTGATCTTCAGCCTGTTCCTCCTCATCCAGACAGCCACAGCGGCCAGGCACTCGTCCAATACCCGAGGGGCTTCCTTGGAATTAGGTGGAAAAGAGTAGTAGAGTTGCGTGTCGTCTGCGTAGAGATGGCACCCAACTCCAAAACTCCAGATGACCTCGCACAGCAGGTTTATGTAGATGTTAAAAAGCATGGGAGACAGAATGGAACCTTGCGAGACCCCACAGGTCAAAGGCCAGGGGTCCGAACAGGTGTCTCCCAGCTTCACCATCTGGGAACGGCCCTCCAGGAAGGATCAGAAACAGCGAGTCTGCAAAAAGCAAACCGCGAAGTAGCGGGGGAACACTGTAGACTGCTTGTGAGTCCAGTGGACTCTTCTTCTGCTGGGTGGGGAGGCTATGATTGTATTTTCCTGCCTGGGTGAAGAGGGTCAGATTGGATGGCCCTTGAGGTCTCGTCCAACCACGATTCTATCGGGAGTGCAATGTGGGACGATGACCAACAAAGCAGATGGTGTGCGGGCAGGCAGTCCAAGCCAAACACCAGCCACACGGCATGGTGTCCAAGGCACTTTTGCCGTGCAGGCACCTCTCCTTCCGCCCACGGCTGGCGCCTCGCCTCCCTGCCGCTTGCGACTGCAGGGCTGAGTCAGGATTTTGCAGCAGCTCAAAATGGGAGTCCAGGGGCTTGCCAGCATTTCTCCAAGAATCACAGAGTTGAAAGAGACTCCAAAGGCCATCCAGGCCAACTGTGGCCTCTTCCATCCAGGAAGGCCATCATGTTCAAGTGAAATCATGTTCAAGTGAAATCTCCTTTCCTGTCATTTGAAGCCATGGCTCCATTGAGTCCTAGTCCAAAGAGCAGCAGAAAGAAAAGCCTTCTTCTTTTTTATGATATCTTTTCAAAGGTTCTCATGTCTCCTCTCAACCTTCCCTGCTGCAAGCTAAGCAGACCCAGCTTTTTAAGACCTTTGATCATTTGAGTTGCCCTCCTCTGGACACATTCCAGATTGTCGATATCTCTCTTAAATGCCCAGAATTAGACACAGTATTCCAAGTGAGGCCTGACCAAAACAGAATTGAGGGACACCACAGGTTGAGAACTACTGCGATAGATAGATGGATGATAGAGTGATAGACCTAAGAGAGGCCTACCTTCAGGTCTTGATAGATAGATAGATAGATAGATAGATAGATAGAGTGATAGACCTAGGAGTTGAAGGCCAAAACATGAGGGGACCCGCCGGTTGAGAACCACTGCAATAGATAGATTGGATGATAGAGCGATAGACCTAGACAGGCCTACCTTCAGGTCCTGATAGATAGATAGATGACAGAGTGATAGACCTAGGAGTTGAAGGCCAAAACATCTGGGGGGACCCACAGGTTGAGAACCACTGCAATAGATAGATGGATGGATGATAGAGTGATAGGCCTAAGAGAGGCCTATCTTCAGGGATAGATAGATAGATAGATAGATGATAAAGTGATAGGCCTAAGAGTTGAAGGCCAAAACATCTGGGGAGAGGTTGAGAACCACTGCAATAGATAGATGGATGGATGATAGAGTGATACACCTAAGAGAGGCCTACCTTCAGGTCCTGATAGACAGATAGATAGATCATAGAGTGATAGACCTAGGAGTTGAAGGCCAAAATATCTGGGGACCCATCGGTTGAGAACCACTGCAATAGATGGATGGATGGATGGATGATAGAGTGATAGACCTAAGAGAGGCCTACCTTCAGTTCCTGATAGATAGATCATAGAGTGATAGACCTAGGAGTTGAAGGCCAAAACATCTGGGGACCCACAGGTTGAGAACCACTGCAATAGATAGATAGATGTATGATAGGATGATAGACCTAAGAGAGGCCTACCTTCAGGTCCTTATAGATAGATGATAGAGTGATAGACCTAGGAGTTGAAGGCCAAAACATCTGGGGGGACCCAACAGGTTGAGAACCACTGCAATAGATGGATGGATGATAGAGTGATAGACCTAAGAGAGGCCTACCTTCAGGTCCTGATAGATCATAGAGTGATAAACCTAGGAGTTGAAGGCCAAAATATCTGGGGACCCACCGGTTGAGAACCACTGCGATAGATAGATGGATGGATGATAGAGTGATAGACCTAAGAGAGGCCTACCTTCAGGTCCTGATAGATATAAATAGATGATAGAGGGATAGACCTAGGAATTGAAGGTCAAAACATCTGGGGACCCACAGGTTGAGAACCACTGCAATAGGTAGATAGATGGATGATAGAGTGATAGACCTAAGAGAGGCCTACCTTCAGGTCCTGATATAGATAGATGATAGAGTGATAGACCTAGAAATTGAAGGTCAAAACATGAGGGGACCCACAGGTTGAGAACCACTGCAATAGATAGATAGATGGATGATGGAGTGATAGACCTAAGAGAGGCCTAACTTCAGGTCCTGATAGATATAGATAGATGATTCTCAACTCCTAGGTGATAGACCTAGGAGTTGAAGGCCAAAATATTTGGGGACCCACAGGTTGAGAACCAGTCATCTAGACTCCTATGGATGTGAGCCTAGAATTCTATTGGCTTTTTAAGCAGCTGCAATCATGCTGTTGACTCATAATTCAGCATATGGATCTACATGAGTATCTCAATGTTCTCAGTTTAATCCAAAGAGGACCTTGGTTTTCTAAAAGAGGCCCACCCTTTGTGTTTCAAGTCATGGTGAACATTGTGCAAGTGAGCCAACCTCCATGTTGAGGCCTTTCTCCGCTTGGAGATAGGTGTTCCTCAACCGAGACCTTCCACCAAAGAATGTATTCTCGGTGTTCTGTCACAGTAGGGTCTCTCTTCTGTTGTCCTGGAAGCGTGATGTAAGAGACCAAGAGCATTCCCCATCTGCCTCCGCTGTTCTTGGACAGCGAGCACCTCAAAATATGTCCCGGCCGCACCTCCCTTTGTGTGGGTGTGATGTCACAATAGTGGGCTGCCGCAATTGGCTCGCGCTCGACGGCATCACTCGTCTCCACGGGATAGGAAGTGGCGGACGTTTTGGGGGACTGGCCATTGACTTCTGGGTCAGCGTTTGGTCCGGTCTTTGGTCTGGTTCCCCCATGCCAAAGCAGCATCTTTCCAATGTTTACAATGGAATTCAGGTAATTTTGTCATTCTAAAGAACCTTCCCCTCGGCCTTCTAATCTGAACATCTATCTCAGATCATTTCTGAAGCTGAACAGGGCTACCTGTGAATGTATTTACCTCTCCTTTGCTTCTCTCCTGTTGAGTTGGGAACCTGGACTCCTTAATAAGAGCCAGGGATATCTTGCTTCTTTGTCTGCCTGGATTTAGTCCTCAGCCCAGATATGGACAGATTACTTGGACCCAGCAACATGAAGTACCCAAAGTTCAGGGCTTTTTTGATGACTCCCTTTCAGTGCTGCTTTGTACAAATAGCACACAATCTTAGGATGTAAAATGGGTTGCAGTCTTCTGTTTTGGATTCATTCACCTTTCCCAGATGAGAATTATGTGAACTGTTTAAAACAGCCTTAAACTACCATATATACTTGAGTATAAGCTGAGTTTTTCAGCCCCATTTTCAGGCCGAAAAAGCCCCCCTTCGGCTTATACTCGAGTCAATGTTATTTATTATTTCACTGTTATTACTATTATTATATTTATATTATTTTACTTTATTATTATTAAGTTTATTATTTTTCTCTATTTATTATTGTTGTTATTACATTTATTATTTTACTCTATTTTTATTATGATTACATTTATTTTACTGTATTATTACGTGTTTTATTTTACTATATTATTATTGTTGTTATTACATTTATTATTTTACTTGATTATTGTTATTACTACATTTATTATTTCACTCTATTATTATTACATGTATTATTTTACTTGATTATTGTTATTACATTCATTTATTTATTTTCATTATTATCATTATTTTACTTTATTAATATTGTTATATTTATTATTTTACTCTATTATTACATTTAATATTTTACTCTATTATTATTACATGTATTATTTTACTGTATTGTTTTATTACATTTATGTCACTATTATTATTACATTTATGATTATTATTACATTTATTATTTTAATCTATTATTGTTATTACAATTATTATTTATTGCATTTATTATTTGACTTTATTGTTGTTACATTTATTATTTTTCTCTATTTATTATTGTTATTATTACATTTATTATTTTACTCTTTTTATTATGATTACATTTATTATTTTACTCTATTATTATTACATTTATTATTTTACTCGATTATTGTTATTACATTTATTATTTATTATTGTCATTGCATTTATTATTTTTCTCTATTTATTATAGTTATTATTACATTTATTATTTTACTTTATTATTATTACAATTATTTTTATTATTATTACATTTTTATTTTACATTGTTGTTATTACATTTATTATTTTACTCCATTTTTATTATTATTACATTTATTATTTTACTCTATTATTACGTGATTTATTTTACTGTATTATTGTTGTTATTACATTTATTATTTTACTCGATTATTGTTATTACATTCATTTATTTATTGTCATTATTTTACTTTATTAATATTGTTATATTTATTATTTTACTCTATTATTACATTTAATATTTTACTCTATTATTATTACGTGTATTATTTTACTGTATTGTTTTATTACATTTATGTCACTATTATTATTACATTTATTATTATTATTGCATTTATTATTTGACTTTATTGTTGTTACATTTATTATTTTTCTCTATTTATTATTGTTATTATTACATTTATTATTTTACTCTTTTTATTATGATTACATTTATTATTTTACTCTATTATTATGTGCATTATTTTACTCTATTATTGTTATTATTACATTTATTATTTTACATTATTATCACTACATTCTTTATTTCACTCTATTATTATTACATTTATTATTTTACTCGATTATTGTTATTACGTTTATTTATTGTCATGGTCATTATTTTACTTTATTATTGTTATATTTAATATTTTACTCTTTTATTATTATGTGTATTGTTTTACTGTATTGTTTTATTACATTTATTATGTCACTATTATTATATTTATTATTTTACTCTATTTATTATTACGTTTATTATTATTATTACATTTATTATTTTAATCTATTATTGTTATTACAATTATTATTTATTGCATTCTTACTTGACTTTATTGTTGTTACATTTATTATTTTACTCTATTATTATTACATTTGTTATTATTACATGTATTATTTTACTCTATTGTTATTACATTTATTATTTATTTATTGTCATTTTATTTAATATTTTACTTTATTGTTATTATTTACAGTTATTTACTTTACAGTTATTATTTTACTCTATTTATTGTTATTATTACATTTATTATTCCACAACAAGCCTTTTTTTTTCAAATGATCACAGAGACAGAAAGTGAGGTGAAATCTTTTGAAGAGGGGCACAGACAGCAAAACAAACACCGCAAAAGTGTTAAGCCTTCCGTATTCTATCCAAAGCCATCTATTTATTGTTGTCTAGAGTTACACTTTAAAATGTACCCATTCCAAGGGGTGGAAATGCCTCTTAGGTTCTTCCAGGGAAGCCAGGACAATATTTTGGATGGACATTCTCTGACTTATAGTTTTTGTCCATGAGTAAATCCAAAAAAATCCTACATTATGGGAAGAGAACCACGGTGATGGGGAAGCAGCTTGGCTTCCATTACCCATTGCAGTCTGGTTCAGGAAACGTGTGTAATTGAGTTCCTTTCTCTCCATCCACATCCAGCAGTGACCAGGACCGGGGCCGGCTCACCCCGTCACCGGACATCATTGTCCTTTCCGACAACGAAGCCTCCAGTCCCCGCTCCAGCTCCCGCATGGAAGAGCGGCTCAAGGCTGCCAATCTGGAAATGTTCAAGGTAAGGGCAGCATGGCTGAGAAAGATGGCGACCCCCAGGTGACACAGGCTCGCTTTGGGGGGGTCTTTCTCTTGGCTACCCTAGAAGATAACACTGGATCTATTAGATTCAGAGTACTTCCCCCCTTCTCTCTCTGCAGGGCAAAGGCCTTGAGGAGAGGCAGCAGCTCATTAAGCAGCTCCGGGACGAGCTGCGACTCGAGGAGGCCCGGCTGGTGCTGCTGAAGAAGCTACGGCAGAGCCAGCTACAAAAAGAGAACGTGGTACAGAAGGTAAAGTATCGACTGTGCGGTGGTTGTATAATAAAATGGGGGGCAGGCTATTGTACAGTACAACCTTCTTATACAGTGATTCCTTGACTTATGAGCGACCCAACATATGTATTTTTTGCAATACAAGCTGTCGCTCGGCCCATTTCTCGCAAGCAGCGATCTGAGATCCGATCCTCCCACCTGGAAAGTTCTCATTGTAATTGCTTTCCATTTGTGATTCCATTTAGCCACCTGTGTGTCCATGGCTCCATTTGTTTACTGCTCAGATGAGCTGTTTTGGAATTTCTTATACAGTGATTTCTTGACTTATGAGCGACCCAACATATGTATTTTTTGCAATACAAGCCGTCACTTGGCCCAATTCTCGCAAGCAGCGATTTGAGTTCCGAACCTCCCACCTGGTGGAGAGTTCTCATTGTAATTGCTTTCCATTTGTGGTTTCATTTAGCTACCTGTGTGTCCATGGCTCCATTTGTGTATTGCTCAGATCAGCTGTTTTGGAATTTCTTATACTGTGATTCCTTGACTTACAAAAGACCCAACATATGTATTTTTTGCAATACAAGCCGTTGCTCAGACCATTTCTCGCAAGCAGCGAGTTCTGAGTTCTGAGTCTCCCACCTGGTGAAGAGTTCTCATTGTTATTGCTTTCCATTTGTGATTCCGTTTAGCCACCTGTGTGTCCATGGCTCCATCTGTTTACTGCTCAGATCAGCTATTTTGGGATTTTAAAATATAAACGAAACCACGTCTTTCCCTTGACTGCAGGGATATACAGTCTTGCAAATATGCACATTTTTCACCTGGAATCAGGTGTTAAGTGGACCTTTTTAACACGTGCTTTTCAGTTGTTAACCTGATTCAGCGTGCATTTTTGCAAAACGTCATTTAGCCACCACCCCCTTCCGCCTCCCGCCCTACCTCTTGCACTAGCGTGACCTTCTCGCAAGAGGTAGCACTAGCATGAGAGGTAGTGCTAGCACGAGTGTACCCGTTATCTATAAGCAGGGCCAGGGCATGTGCGGCTCACCCCGGGCCCAGAGGAGGGTCCGCTTGTGGCCTTCGGCAAGGCATGGAGCCTCCTCCTCTGCAGCCGGATGGCTCATCCCAGGCCTAGCAAAAGGGCTGCTCATTGACCAAAAACTGATTTGAACCCTTATTTATTTATTATTTATTTATATTTAGAGTAGCCAGTGTACGCCTACCTGAGATCTTCAGGTAGAAGGTAGGCTAGAGATATTTTAAGTAATAAATAATTTAAAAGTATTTATTTATTTATGTACAGTATTTATATTCCGCCCTTCTCAGGGGACTCAGGGCGGATCACAATGCACGTATACATGGCAAACATTCAATGCCATAGAGCAGTGGCTCTCAACCTGGGGTCCCCAGATGTTTTTGGCCTACAACTCCCAGAAATCTCAGCCAGTTTACCAGCTGTTAGGATTTCTGGGAGTTGTAGGCCAAAAACATCTGGGAACCCCAGGTTGAGAACCACTGCCCTAGAGACACAACATATATAGACAGACACACAGAGGCTATTTAACTTTCCAGCTTCATGAGGGTATGTTTTGAATTCCGGCCACTGGGGGAGCTGTCGCTTCACCGTCCACTTGTGACACGAGTGGAGTACTTCCTCATTCTTTTGCATGCTGCTGGAGAGTTTTATGGCATCGTAAATTAGTTATATTAGCCTCCCCGCATAAGCAGTACCTAAATTCAATGTATTGTCGAAGGCTTTCATGGCTGGAATCACTGGGTTGTTGTAGGTTTTTTTCGGGCTATATGGCCATGTTCTAGAGGCATTCTCTCCTGACGTTTCACCTGCATCTATGGCAAGCATCCTCAGAGGTAGTGAGGTCTGTTGGAACTAGGAAAATTGGTTTATATATCTGTGGAATGACCAGGGTGAGACAAAGGACTTTTGTCTGCTGGAGCTAGGTGTGAATGTTTCAACTGACCACCTTGATTAGCATTCAATGGCTTGGAAGTGCCCGGGGGGAATCCCTTGTTGAGAGTGATTTTATGTGCCTGTTTGTTTCCTCTCTGTTGTTTTGCTGTTGTGATTTTTTTTTAATACTGGTAGCCAGATTTTGTTCATTTCATGGTTTCCTCCTTTCTGTTGAAATTGTCCACATGCGTGTGGATTTCAATGGCTTCTCTGTGTAGTCTGACATGGTGGTTGTGAGAGTGGTCCAGCATTTCTGTGTTCTCAAATAATATGCTGTGTCCAGGTTGGTTCATCAGGTGCTCTGCTATGGCTGACTTCTCTGGTTGGAGTAGTTTGCAGTGCCTTTCATGTTCCTTGATGCGTGTCTGGGCGCTGTGTATTAAAGGACTCAAAAATCGCAACAGCAAAACAACAGAGGGGAAACAAACAGGCACATAAAATCACTCTCAACAAGGGATTCCCCCCGGGCACTTCCAAGCCATTGAATGCTAATCAAGGTGATCAGCTGAAACATTCACACCTAGCTCCAGCAGACAAGAGTCCTTTGTCCCACCCTGGTCATTCCACAGATATATAAACCTTTTTCCTAGTTCCAACAGACCTCACTACCTCTGAGGATGCTTGCCATAGATGCAGGCGAAATGTCAGGAGAAAAATTGCCTCCAGAACATGGCCATATAGCCCGGAAAAACCTACAACAACCCAGTACCTAAATTTCCTACTTGACAGATGCAACTGTCTTTCGAGCTGCAAAGGTCGACAGCAAGTTAGACAAATGGTCAGGAGCTTACTCCAACCTGGGCTGGCTTCGAACTCATGACCTCTCGGTCAGTGGTCATTCAATGCAGCTGACTCCTAGCTAACTGCACCACAACCCAGTCCTTTTGGTAGTAATGCTAGAGAGTGGTCCCTGGTCAAAGTCCTTGATCAAATGACCCCTGATCAATGTGCTTCCTGGTCAAAAAGAGGTTGGGAACCACTGCTACAAAGGACATATTTTGTCTTCTCTGACCAATTCTTAAGTCTTCCAGCGCAATGTCTGTTATCCAATATCAGTTTTCACCGTTCCATGGAAAGTATGCTCCATATTTGCTTGGAAAGAGAACATCTATGGAGCCCACCAGACTTTCCATCTAGGGGCATTCAGCCCTTAGGTTCTCACGCCAGTCTCTCCCTTTTCCTGTCTGCCAGACTCCGGTTGTCCAGAACGCAGCATCAATTGTCCAGCCATCTCCTGCCCATGTTGGACAGCAGGCTCTGTCCAAACTTCCTTCCCGGCCTGGAGCTCAGGGGGTTGAGCCCCAGAACCTCCGCACATTACAGGTAAGCGATCGCCACATGTGTCGCGTGAGGGAGAGTTCTTAGAACTCAGGAAGTGTGGACTTTGAGAACGAGGGGGGTACGGAATGGCTCCTCCGGCTGACCCCGCTGTGGCTTTTCTCCCCAACTCTCCGGGCAGGGTCACAGCGTCATCCGATCGGCCGCCAACACGGCCCTCCCCCACATGCTTATGTCGCAGCGCGTCATTGCGCCGAACCCCACCCAGCTCCAAGGGCAGCGCATCCCCTCGAAACCGGGACTCATCCGCACCACCACTCCAGGCATGAGCCCCGCCATCAGCTACCAGCCGGTGAGTAGAACACACATTCGAGCATTGCGGGTTCTGCACCAAGTGGTAAATGTGTCGCGAAAACTTTGTAAACAAAGGTTCTTTTTATTGCAATTTCTGTGAGAGGGTATATCAGAACTGGGTTTTTGTAGGTTTTTCAGGTTCTATTTATGGTGCTAATATAAAAAAAATATTATATTAGCATAGTACTATATATTACTATATTGGACTATGCCATTGTATTGTAATATTATTAGTAATATTACATGTAATATAAATATATAATTATAATACCATATTATTATTAGTGTTATATTGCATTACATTATAATAATATAAAAATTATATGTATATACAATATATTATATTATATTATATTATATTATATTATATTATATTATTAGCATAGCACTGGAGACAAGGTGGAACTCTTCTAGAAGCATTCTGTCCTGATGTTTCGCCTGCATCTGTGGCAGGCATCTTCAGAGGTTGTGAGGTCTCACCCCGAAGGGGATTCAAAGCAGCTTACAAGTACACATACATACAATATATTATATTATTAGCATAGTACAATATCAGTATTAAATGTTACTATATTGGACTATACCATTATATTGTAATATTATTAGTAATATTACATGTAATATAAATATATAATTATAATACCATAATATTATTAGTGTTATAATGTTATGCAATTATATTACATGTTAACATATTAGTGTTATATTGCATTACATTATAATATTATAAAAATTATATGTATATATATTATATTATATTATATTATATTATATTATATTATTAGCATAGCACAGGAGACAAGGTGGAACTGTTCTAGAAGCATTCTGTCCTGACGTTTCGCCTGCAGTATGGCATGCATCCTCAGAGATTATGAGGTCTTTTTGGATTGTAATAAGGTCTCTTATATTGCAATATTTCCGCTGATGTTGTCTCCTGGTTGTAAATGAATGATAGATAAGACGTTTTCCATTCTGAAACATGTTGATTACATCTCAGTTTCCTGGCAGATGTCGTTGGCTCTCCTTGATGGGTGTTATATGTATATACAATATATTATATTATATTATATTATATTATATTATATTATATTATATTATATTATTAGCATAGCACAGGAGACAAGGTGGAATTCTTCTAGAAGCATTCTGTCCTGACGTTTCGCCTGCACTATGGCAGGCATCCTCGGAGGTTGTGAGGTCTTTTTGGATTGTAATAAGGTCTCTTATATAGCAATATTTCCGCTGATATTGTCTTCTCGTTGTAAATCAATGATAGTTTTCCATCCTGAAACATGTTGATTCCATCTCCGTTTCCTGGCAGATATCGTTAGCTCTCCTTGATTGGTGTTAGCAAATGCAAGCAGCTCTGTGCTGACTTAATAATAATAATAATAATAATAATAATAATAATAATAATAATATACACCACACAGTCCTAGACACTTGGGAAGTGTTTGACTTGTGATTTTGTGATACGAAATCCAGCATATTGTACTACACCATTATATTATAACATTGCAATATAAAATATATAATTATAATATTAGTATCATATTTATTCGTGACAAATGCAGAGCGATAGGCTTCTATGCTGACGATGTGGCCACATCGTTGTCGCGCAAGTAGGCCCGGATTCAGCAACAGAAGGGAGATACGGTCCCGTTTTGAGCTCGGAGACACGGATGTTAACATGACGGCTTTAAGCAGTTCACGCCAATTTGTACATCATTAAGCCATTAGGGAGATTTATTAAGCTAATTAGGTAATTAACGTGTTAGTGGAATCGTTGAACTGTTGTATTAAAATATCATTTAAAGTTATTGGGGAAAATGATTGGTAGCAAATTGAAGCTGTGAGAACTGTCTGTCATCATTTCAAAACACTGTTGGTTGACGCTTCACAAGTTGAATCGTGTGCTTTAAAAATGGAATGGGGAGCAACCAGTAGGATTTTAGCCCATTATTTAGCTCCTAGCTGGTGATTGGCTAGAGCACATTTGGGCAAACCCAGGCTCGGGGTGCGAATGCGGCCCCTTGGGCTCTTTTCTCAGGCCCTCCTCTCTCACCATCCTATCCTTCCTTCCTTCTCTCTTTCCTTCCTCCTTCCCTCCCTCTCTCCCTTCCTTACCTCCCTCTTTCTCCCTCCCTCCCCCCTTCCCTTCCCCTCCCCTTTCATCCTTCTCTCTTTCCTCCCTCCTTCCTTTTCTCTCTTTCTCCTTCCTTCCTTCCTTTTTGTCTTTCCTTCCTCTCCCCTTTCCTCTCTCTCTTCTCCTTCCTTCCCTTTTGTCTTCCCTTCCTTCTCTCTTTCCTTCCTCCTTCCTCCCCTTCCCTTCCTTCCTCCTTCTTCTCCTTCCCCCTTCCCTTCCCCTTCTCTTTCATCCTTCCTCTTTCTTTCCTCCCTCCTTCCTTTCTCTATTTCTCCTTCCTTCCCTTTTGTCTTCCTCTTTCCTCCCTCCTTCCTCCTCTCTCCTTCCCTTCCTTCCTTCTCTTCCTCTCCTTCCTTCCTTCCTTCCTTCCTTCCCTTCCCTTTTTCTTTTCCTCCCTTCTCTCTTTCCTTACTCCTTCCTTCCCTCTTCCTTTCCTTCCTCCCTCTTTCTTCCCCTTCTTTTTCCCTTCCACCCTTTTGTCCTCCCCTCCCACTTTCCTCCTTCCTTCTCTCTTTTTCTCCCTCCTTCCATTTTGTCTTTCCTTCCTTCTTCCTTCCCTCCCTCCTCCATTCCTTCCACCCTTTCAACCTTCCTTCTCTCTTTCCTCCCTCCTTCCTTTTCTCTCTTTCTCCTTCCTTTCCCTTTTTCTTTCCTTCCTTCCCTTCCCTCCTCCTCCTCCCTTTCACTCTTTCATCCTTCCTTCTCTCTTTCCTCCCTCCTTCCTTTTCTCTCTTTCTCCTTCCTTCCCTTTTGTCTTTCCTCCTCTCTCCTTCCTCCTCTGTCTTTCTCCTTCCTTCCTTCCTTCCTTCCTTCCTTCCTTCCTTCCTTCCTTCCTTCCTTCCTTCCTTCCTTCCCTTTTGTCTTTCCTTCCTTTTGTCTTTCCTCCCCCTTCCCTTCCCCCTTCCTTCCTTCCATCATTCTCTTCCTTCATTCCTTTCTTCCTTCCCTCTGGGACCTCTTTCTGTGCTCTGGCCCCTCTCCTTGAGAATTCTTCCACTGCAAATGTTGAGCACTGTTTGGTGTTAGAGTCACATCTCAAGATGGCCGAGGTCATCCATCTGTCACTGCGTTACAGTTAGGACTAGGAGCCCTCTCCTTGAGAATTCTCCCACTGCAAATGTTGAGCACTGTTTGGTGTTAGAGTCACATCTCAAGATGGACCCCTCTCCTTGAGAATTCTCCCACTGCAAATGTTGAGCACTGTTTGTTGTTAGTGTCATGTCTCAAGATGGACCCCTCTCCTTGAGAATTCTCCCACTGCAAATGTTGAGCACTGTTTGTTGTTAGAGTCACATCTCAAGATGGACCCCTCTCCTTGAGAATTCTCCCACTGCAAATGTTGAGCACTGTTTGTTGTTAGTGTCATGTCTCAAGATGGACCCCTCTCCTTGAGAATTCTTCCACTGCAAATGTTGAGCACTGTTTGTTGGTAGAGTCACATCTCAAGATGGACCCCTCTCCTTGAGAATTCTCCCACTGCAAATGTTGAGCACTGTTTGTTGTTAGTGTCATGTCTCAAGATGGACCCCTCTCCTTGAGAATTCTCCCACTGCAAATGTTGAGCACTGTTTGTTGTTAGAGTCACATCTCAAGATGGACCCCTCTCCTTGAGAATTCTCCCACTGCAAATGTTGAGCACTGTTTGTTGTTAGAGTCACATCTCAAGATGGACCCCTCTCCTTGAGAATTCTCCCACTGCAAATGTTGAGCACTGTTTGTTGTTAGAGTCACATCTCAAGATGGACCCCTCTCCTTGAGAATTCTCCCACTGCAAGTGTTGAGCACTGTTTGTTGTTAGAGTCACATCTCAAGATGGACCCCTCTCCTTGAGAATTCTCCCACTGCAAGTGTTGAGCACTGTTTGTTGTTAGAGTCACATCTCAAGATGGACCCCTCTCCTTGAGAATTCTCCCACTGCAAATGTTGAGCACTGTTTGTTGTTAGAGTCACATCTCAAGATGGACCCCTCTCCTTGAGAATTCTCCCACTGCAAATGTTGAGCACTGTTTGTTGTTAGTGTCATGTCTCAAGATGGACCCCTCTCCTTGAGAATTCTTCCCACTGCAAATGTTGAGCACTGTTTGTTGTTAGTGTCATGTCTCAAGATGGACCCCTCTCCTTGAGAATTCTCCCACTGCAAAGGTTGAGCACTGTTTGTTGTTAGAGTCACATCTCAAGATGGACCCCTCTCCTTGAGAATTCTCCCACTGCAAATGTTGAGCACTGTTTGTTGTTAGAGTCACATCTCAAGATGGACCCCTCTCCTTGAGAATTCTCCCACTGCAAATGTTGAGCACTGTTTGTTGTTAGAGTCACATCTCAAGATGGACCCCTCTCCTTGAGAATTCTCCCACTGCAAATGTTGAGCACTGTTTGTTGTTAGAGTCACATCTCAAGATGGACCCCTCTTCTTGAGAATTCTCCCACTGCAAGTGTTGAGCACTGTTTGTTGTTAGAGTCACATCTCAAGATGGACCCCTCTCCTTGAGAATTCTCCCACTGCAAATGTTGAGCACTGTTTGTTGTTAGTGTCATGTCTCAAGATGGACCCCTCTCCTTGAGAATTCTCCCACTGCAAATGTTGAGCACTGTTTGTTGTTAGTGTCATGTCTCAAGATGGACCCCTCTCCTTGAGAATTCTCCCACTGCAAATGTTGAGCACTGTTTGTTGTTAGAGTCACATCTCAAGATGGAGCCCTCTCCTTGAGAATTCTCCCACTGCAAATGTTGAGCACTGTTTGTTGTTAGAGTCACATCTCAAGATGGACCCCTCTCCTTGAGAATTCTCCCACTGCAAATGTTGAGCACTGTTTGTTGTTAGAGTCACATCTCAAGATGGACCCCTCTCCTTGAGAATTCTCCCACTGCAAATGTTGAGCACTGTTTGTTGTTAGAGTCACATCTCAAGATGGACCCCTCTCCTTGAGAATTCTCCCACTGCAAGTGTTGAGCACTGTTTGTTGTTAGAGTCACATCTCAAGATGGACCCCTCTTCTTGAGAATTCTCCCACTGCAAATGTTGAGCACTGTTTGTTGTTAGTGTCATGTCTCAAGATGGACCCCTCTCCTTGAGAATTCTCCCACTGCAAAGGTTGAGCACTGTTTGGTGTTAGAGTCACATCTCAAGATGAACCCCTCTCCTTGAGAATTCTCCCACTGCAAAGGTTGAGCACTGTTTGTTGTTAGAGTCACATCTCAAGATGGACCCCTCTCCTTGAGAATTCTCCCACTGCAAGTGTTGAGCACTGTTTGTTGTTAGAGTCACATCTCAAGATGGACCCCTCTCCTTGAGAATTCTCCCACTGCAAATGTTGAGCACTGTTTGTTGTTAGAGTCACATCTCAAGATGGACCCCTCTCCTTGAGAATTCTCCCACTGCAAGTGTTGAGCACTGTTTGTTGTTAGAGTCACATCTCAAGATGGACCCCTCTCCTTGAGAATTCTCCCACTGCAAATGTTGAGCACTGTTTGTTGTTAGTGTCATGTCTCAAGATGGACCCCTCTCCTTGAGAATTCTCCCACTGCAAAGGTTGAGCACTGTTTGGTGTTAGAGTCACATCTCAAGATGAACCCCTCTCCTTGAGAATTCTCCCACTGCAAAGGTTGAGCACTGTTTGTTGTTAGAGTCACATCTCAAGATGGACCCCTCTCCTTGAGAATTCTCCCACTGCAAGTGTTGAGCACTGTTTGTTGTTAGAGTCACATCTCAAGATGGACCCCTCTCCTTGAGAATTCTCCCACTGCAAATGTTGAGCACTGTTTGTTGTTAGAGTCACATCTCAAGATGGACCCCTCTCCTTGAGAATTCTCCCACTGCAAATGTTGAGCACTGTTTGTTGTTAGAGTCACATCTCAAGATGGACCCCTCTCCTTGAGAATTCTCCCACTGCAAATGTTGAGCACTGTTTGTTGTTAGAGTCACATCTCAAGATGGACCCCTCTCCTTGAGAATTCTCCCACTGCAAATGTTGAGCACTGTTTGTTGTTAGAGTCACATCTCAAGATGGACCCCTCTCCTTGAGAATTCTTCCACTGCAAATGTTGAGCACTGTTTGTTGTTCAGAGTCACGTCTCAAGATGGACCCCTCTCCTTGAGAATTCTTCCACTGCAAATGTTGAGCACTGTTTGTTGTTAGAGTCACATCTCAAGATGGACCCCTCTCCTTGCGAATTCTTCCACTGCAAATGTTGAGCACTGTTTGTTAGAGTCACATCTCAAGATGGACCCCTCTCCTTGAGAATTCTCCCACTGCAAATGTTGAGCACTGTTCGTTGTTAGAGTCACATCTCAAGATGTCCAAGGTCATCCCATCCCTCACTGCATCCTCTCTTTTCCTCCTTCCCTCCCAGCAATCCAGCTCCGCTGTCCCCTGCCAACGCTCCTCGTCCTCCACCATCTACATGAACCTGGCCTCCCACATCCAGCCGCCGGGCACGGTCAACCGGGTCTCTTCGCCGCTGCCTAGCCCCAGCGCGCTCAGCGACGCGGCCAACTCCCAGGCGGCCGCCAAGCTGGCCTTGCGCAAGCAACTGGAAAAGACTCTCCTGGAGATCCCGCCCCCCAAGCCCCCCGCCCCTCTGCTCCACTTCCTGCCCAGTGCAGCCAACAGCGAGTTCATCTACATGGTGGGGTTGGAGGAGGTGGTGCAGAGCGTCATCGACAGCCAAGGTAAACGGCAGCGGGACTGGCCTCGCAACCGAGACGGGGTGGCAAAGGGGAGAAGCACAGCCCTTGCGAGGAAGCGAGGGGGGGTGTGCTTTGTGACACAAATACGCATGTCTCGGATACACTACTTCTGTAGTGGCTTTTCTCTAGTGCAGTGTTTCTCAACCTTCCTCATGGCCATGTTTTTTTAGAAGCATTCTCTCCTGACTTTCCCCCCACATCTATGGCAGGCATCCTCAGAGGTTGTGAGGTCTGTTGGAAACTAAGCAAGGAAGGTTTCTCCTAGATGGTCCCTGTGAAATACACACATACAGGTCTCCTGTGCAGTAGTTTCAGAACTCTGTAGAAGCTCTCAGATACATTTTGGTGAAAGTCCCGCCTACTCTTCCCTCAATAGTGTATATGGCCAGTGGGAGGGGCTACTGCCCCCAGTTCCTATCTGTGGAAGGTCCTGGGTGGGAGAAAGTACTCTTGTCTGTTGAAGGCAAGTGTGAATGCTGCAATTACTTTTTTTATTTACTTATTTACGACATTTATATGCCGCCCTTCTTACCCCGAAGGGGACTCAGAGCAGCTTACTATATATACATACAATATATTATATTATTAGCATAGTACGATATCAGTATTATATATTACTAATATAATACTAGTATTATATATTACTAATATAATATAATATTATTAATAATATTACATGTAATATAAAATATATAATTATAATATATTAGTAGTAGTAGTAGTAGTAGTATATTGTATTACATTATCATATTATAAATATTATGTGTATATACAATATATGATATGATATGATATTATATTATATTATATTATATTATATTATTAGCATAGCACAAAAGACAAGGTGGAACTGTCTTCTGGCCCCCTCTCTCCTCACTCTGGCCCAGAGCAGCAGTTGGTGCTGGGGGAGGGGCTCCCAACTGATGTCATAGGCAGGAGACAAGGTGGAACTGTCCCCTGGTCCCCCCTCTCAATCACCTTGAATAGCATTTCAAAGCCTTGCAGCTTCAAGGCCTGGCTGATTCCTGCCTGGGAGGATCCTTTGTTAGGAGGTGTTAGCTGGCCCTAATTCTTTCCTGTCTGGAATTCCCCTGTTTTCAGAGTGTTGGTCTTTTATTTACTGTCCTAATTTTTACTTACTGTCCTTTTTAAAAAAAAAAATAGGACGGTAAATAAAGGACAACAAAGAGCACAGGACCCCCATAAAAAGTGAAAAACCTCTAGGTCTTCCAACACAACTCTGGGCAGTGTCTGCTAGGCCCTGGGGCTTTGGAAATCTCACACAGACGTACAGCTAGGAAACGCTTTCAGGCAAGGATGGTCTTGGTTGACTCCTCCTGGTGTTGTCCTCCCCCCGACCCTTGCAGGAAAAGCTTGCTCTTCCCTTTTGCGAGTGGAGCCTTTCAGCTGCGCCCAGTGCCGCACAGACTTCACCCCGCACTGGAAGCAGGAGAAGAGCGGGAAGATCTTGTGCGAGCAGTGCATGACCTCCAACCAGAAGAAGGCCCTCAAGGCGGAGCACACCAACCGGCTGAAGAACGCCTTCGTCAAAGCGCTGCAGCAGGAGCAGGTGAGACCTGGAGGCGCAACTTATAGGGATTGTCGCGAAGACGAAACCGTCCGGTGTTAACAAGGGTGGCCTTCCTCTTCTCCCTCCCTCCAGGAAATTGAACAGCGGCTGCAGCAACAAGCGGCGTTGTCTCCGACCGCCGCTCCCGCCAGCGTGTCCAGCGTCAGCAAACAGGAGAGCATCATGCGGCACCACACACTCCGCCAGGTGAGGCACTCCTGAAGCTTTCTCTTGCCCTCACTTTTAGTTCCCATGAACGCTTGCCTTTCCTCCGCCAGATTTTCCACCTTAAATAGAGTACTCTTAGACAACCCTAGCAACCAAAAGTCTGCTCGTTTATTTATTTGCAGTACAGTGTTCCCTCATTATCTTGCAGTTCACTTTAGGTGGACTCGTCGTTTCACGGTTTTTTAATAAATACAGTAATGTATATATTTACACTGGAGCTGCGCCTCTCCTTGCCATGCGCATCGTGGGAGATGCCAGCCTGGGAAGCTGCCTCCTAGAGGCACCCCACTCGCCCAGCTCCTCCTCCTCACTTGCTTCCTCCTCTCCTTCCTAACTCTCCCTTGCAGACGGGAGCCCTTCTGGGTTGAAAGCAGGAGAAGGAAGGGAAGGATGATGGACAGGTCTAGAGGGGCAATAGGCAGGTGGGTCGGAAGAGGAGGGGCGACCCGCGTGACATCATGAGACCAACCTGGTGCAGGGAAAGAAAGGTGGGAGAGGCATCAGGGGTCATCCAAGGCGGGAAGCAGCACAGGCGGTGAGGAGGAGGAGGCTTCCGTCAAAGAGAGCCTCGGCAGTGGCCTCCTCCCCCTCGCCGCCTCCGCTCCTTCCTCGCCACTCTGGGTGCCCAAGGGGCCTCCAAGACAGGTAGCAGCGGAGGTGGCGAGGAGGAGGAGGCCACCGCCAAAGAGATTCTTGGCAGCGACCTCCTCCCCCTCGCCGCCTCTGCTGCTTCCACGCTCCTTCCTCACCAGGCTGGGTGCCCAAGGGTGTACTCCAAGGCAGGGAGCAGCAGAGATGGTGAGGAGGAGGAGGCTGCCACCAAAGAGATTCTTAGCAGCGGCCTCCTCCCCCTCTCCGCCTCCACTCCTTCCTCACCAGGCTGGGTGCCCAGGGGTGTCTTCCAAGGCAGGGAGCAGCAGAGGCGGTGAGGAGGAGGAGGCTGCCACCAAAGAGATTCTTAGCGGCCTCCTCCTCCTTGCCGCCTCCACTCCTTCCTCGCCAGGCTGGGTGCCCAAGGGACGTCCGAGGCAGGGACCCGCGGAGGTGGCGAGGAGAAGGAGCTGCCACCAAAGAGCCTCGGCAGCGGCCTCCTCCCCCTCCCCACCTCTGCTCCTTCCCCGCTCCTTCCTTGCCCGGCTGGGTGCCCAAGGGGCGTCCGAGGCAGGGAGCAGCGGAGGTGGCGAAGAGAAGGAGCTGCCGCCAGAGAGAGCCTCGGCAGCGGCCTCCTCCCCTGCGCCCCCTCTGCTGCTTCCCCACTCCTTCCTCGCCGGGCTGGGTGTCCAAGGGTGTCCTCCAAGGCAGGGAGCAGCAGAGGCGGTGAGGAGGAGGCCGCCACCAAAGAGAGCCTCGGCAGCAGCCTCCTCCCCCTCACCGCCTCTGCGCCTTTCTCACCAGGCTGGGTGCCCAAGGGTCCTCCAAAGCAGGGAGCGGCAGAGGCGGTGAGGAGGAGGAGGCCGCCGCCAAAGAGAGCCTTGGCAGCAGCCTCCTCCCCCTTGCCGCCCCCGCTCTTTCCTCACCAGGCTGGGTGCCCAAGGGGCCTCGGAGGCAGGGAGCGGCGGAGGCGGCGAGGAGGAGGAGGCCGCCACTAAGGTCCTCTTTGGCAGCAGTCTCCTCCCCCTCACCACCTCTGCCGCTCCCTGGCTTGGAGGTCCCTTGGGCACCCGGCCTGGCACGGAAGAGGCCTCGGAGGTGGGGAGCAGCGGAGGCGGCAAAGAGAAGGCCGCTGCGAAATAGAGACATTCCACCCACTCGAGTGGGTGGTGCATCCCTACTTCACAGATTTTCAGTTATCATGGGTGGTCCTGGAACGGAAGTCTCTCACCCTGATTTTCAACACGGCCAATTGTATCCCTAAGAAATCTGTCTCATGTCAGTCAAAAAGGTCTCTGGGCTTTGCGGGTCTCCAAATGTGGCGCGGTTGGTTTTTTTTTTACTCCTCCACCATTACAACCTGTGTTCTCTCCCTCCACCTTCTCCAGGCGCAACAACCCCAGAGCACCCTGCAGCGTGGCATCCCCACCTCTGCCCGCTCGATGCTGTCCAACTTTGCGCAGGCCCCACAACTTTCCGTCGCAGGCGGCCTTCTCGGCATGCCAGGTACAAATGGCGAAGAATCAGAGGGGTGGCAGGCATATGGGATACGTACAATGGGTGGCTCGGTTTCCTAAAAGAACAGGAGAGATTTAGAAACAGGGAAGGTAAATGGAGACAAAACAGTATAAACACATGGATAGGAAATAAACTTTTCTCTTATTAATAGCTAGGGTGCATACTAGTCTCGTGCATTTGTATGGAATTACTATCCATTTCATTTTGTTTCATTCGTTTGGTCCCGTTTTCGTTTGCACCTACCCGAAGGGGAGTTTTGTTGCACATCTGAAAGAATGAAATTTTTCGGACCATTGCCCAAAATGCGTTTCCTTCCCAAGTTCCCCTTCCCTTCAGTTTTAGGGGTGAAAATTGCCACACATGGAGGGCACACTTACTACTCTTTGCCCGCCAAGTTTTATTATGTTAGGGTCATCCCCCATTTTTAGGGATTTTTTTTCTTTCTATAAATAAAATCCCCTTAAAAACATGCCATGGTTTGTACTTATATCCTTCATTACAGCCTGGATTAAAAGCACCAGGGTTACTTAGGATTCCACTAATTCTGAGAAGTTTTATCCTCCATCTGCAGAAGAGAAGTGAGTGTAAAGACAGGGCTTAAGATACCGCATGTGATGCTTTCCCCTCAGTGTGCAGAGCGGTGGTGGGCAAGACATGCATCATGCGAGGAGGATGGCGTTCTTCTGCTCTGCCAATTGGCCCAACAGGCAGGGCTCAGTGGTCAAAAAGCAGGAGACCAAATGGTTTCTGTTCCTACTTTCCTTTTCATTTCACTGTTTCTTCCGTACCAGAAAGGGGTGTATTGTTTTGTGCCATCCGAATGAACGGTACAAAACGAAAACACGAAAGAAACAAATGAGACAAACACCGGCCCATGACTAGTACATACCCCGACGTTACCTGGGTGTCATTGGGACCGCTGCTAGCCCACTGTCTCTCTTCCCCAGTTCTGAAAGGCTGAAAGGAACGTGGCGATACAGCCCGGAAAATTCACAGCAACCCAAAGCCATCTTTGTCACGTTGCCAGGACTCTGCCTTATTTAGGTAGAGATGAAACAAACTCCCAGTTTTATCAAACAGTTTAATTAAAACAGCACTTGCTTGCTGGCTGTTTTTATAGTCCAAAATATAAAACATAAAGATAGCACTCAGCCACAGAATCAACAAAAACTGATAAAAGCTAGACCGTAGTCAAAGGGTCCAGTCAAGTGGTCAAACGTTAAGAGTTCAGTAAACAAAGTCCAGGGATCCAGAGTCTATGCCGTAGTCAAAAGCCGGTTCAAGGTTCCAGGGTTCCAAGATCATAGAAGACAGGTCAGGATACCGAGAATCCAACAGACCTGGGGAAAAAACCAGCAGCATCCACCACCAAAATGCAACAGATACTTTTCTCCCAAAGATCAGTCTGAAGGTTAGCTCCTTAAATCCAGTAATGCCCAGCTGCAACCCATCTCCTGCACACCTCCACCCCTGATTGCTTTCACCAAACCCTCTAGAACTAATACTCACATTAACCCTTCCATCACCAATTGCCAGGTCTACCACCACCAGCTATGACAATCTTAATGCAACATAGAAAAAAATCTAGCGGAAGTTAGAAGCCTGCAGGTGTCCTGCTCTTTTTCTTATAACGCAACTACCTTGGCCTCTTATTTGTCTCCTCTCTGTTTTCCCCAGGTGTCAACATCGCCTACCTGAACGCGGGGATCGGGGGCCACAAAGCATCGAGCCTGGCAGACCGGCAGCGGGAGTACCTTTTAGATATGATCCCGCCACGCTCTATATCGCAGTCCATCAGTGGGCAAAAATAACGCCAGCTGTGCCCTCCCCTTTTCCCCTCCCTGTGACCTCTGACCCCCCCTCGCCCCCCCCCCTTTGTCCGTCGCATGCAGTGCCTGTTCTGGTGCCTACCATATGTGGAGGAAAAGACAAAAAAAACGAAAAAAGAAGAAAAAAGATGAAAACAAAACACACAAAAAAAAAAGAGACGAGAACATTTCAAAATTTCGAAAATCTTCAGCAACCTGCTCTCTTCTGAAAGACTTTTCTCTCTCTCTCTCTCTCTCTCTGTCCTTTTCCTCATCTCTGGATTTTGTTGGCAGCGAGAGTTTTCCCCTCTCCCTCCCCCCTTTAACCCCCCACTCACCTCGATTCTGCCCGAGGTCAGAACCTGTCTGCTTGGACCCTGCACTATACACATGTTTAACGCTTGTTTTACGCTCCTCTATTATTATTATTATTTTTTGGAAGATTTTGAATTTGTAACGGCGACGCGTAGAATTTTTAATTGTCGTGTTCTTTTATTCATGTTTCATTTTCCTCCGTGGGCTTAAAAAACAATGGTTTAAAAACAATTATTCTTTTTTTTTTTTTGCAAGAATCCTCTTTAAAAACTGTTTTGTAGGCTCTCAACTCCTTCCAAAGGTTCTGTTGTTTGGGGAACGGGGGGCTTCAGCACAATAGAGGAGCGGTGCGGGGGACGGGGAAGCCACCGACACGGAAAGTGACTATGGAAAAAGCACGAGCCGTGTCCAGACTTGACACGGCATCCACCCTATAACGCACCAGAGTCAGTGAAGGGTGCGACAATGCCTTTTTGGGATGGGCTACAACCTGGATCTACCGCAGTTTTAAGACCCCCATTAGAGATGCGTATTAGATGGCAAAGGACATGGGTTTTCCGATGCTTTTGCGTCGCCATCAACAATCCTGTCTCGCCTCTGTGTCATTAAACCCCGTTCACCGAAATGCCAAGCATCGTAATGGCAACCAGATCGAGAAAAAAAGTTCCAGATCCAGAAAAAAAAATCATCTCACTGATGCATCTGACTTCCAGCAGAGGGCGCCACCTGCACGTTGTGTCATCCCATCTTTCCAAAAAACGGAACGACCACGACCGTCGGGTGACTCTCGATCGGCGCCAGAGCAATCAACGGGAGGCCAAGTCATTGCCATCAGATCTGGACGGAAAGACCTGGAAGTCTTCTCTGTCTGGTTTCCAGCAGTTGGCGCCACCTGCTCGTTGTATCATCCCGTCTTTCCGAAACACGGAACGACCACGACCGTCATGTGACTCTCGATAGGCGCCGGAGCAATCAACAAGAGACCAAGTCATTGCCATCAGATCTGCCACCCGTAAGGAGAGAAAGACCTGGAAGTTTTCTCCATCTGACGTCCAGTAGATGGCACTACCTGCTCGTTGTATCATCCCGTCTTTCCGAAAAACGGAACGACCACGACCGTTGGGTGACTCTCGATAGGCATCAGAGCAATCAACAGGAGGCCAAGTCATTGCCATCAGATCTGCCACTCGTCAAGAGGGAAAGACCTGGAAGTCTTCTCTGTCTGGCGTCCAGCAGATGGTGCCACCTGCTCGTTGTATCATCCCATCTTTCCGAAAAACAGAACGACCACGACCGTCGGGTGATTCTCGATAGGTGCCAGAGCATTCAACGGGAGGCCAAGTCATTGCCATCAGATCTGCCACTCGTAAGGAGGTAAAGACCTGGAAGCCTTCTCCGTCTGACTTCCAGCAGATGGCGCCACCTGCTCGTTGTATCATCCCATCTTTCCGAAAAACGGAATGACCACGACCGTCGGGTGACTCTCGATAGGCGCCAGAGCAATCAACAAGAGGCCAAGTCATTGCCATAAGATCTGCCACTCGTAAGAGGGAAAGACCTGGAAGCCTTCTCTATCTGACTTCCAGCAGTTGGCGCCACCTGCTCGTTGTATCATCCCGTCTTTCCGAAATACGGAACGACCGACCATCAGATGACTGTCGATAGGCATCTTGTCAATCAACAGGTGGCCATGTCAGTGCCATCAGATTTGTCACTACCATCACTCGTAGTGACGGTCAGACCTGGAAGCCTTCTCTGTTTGACTTCCAGCAGATGGTGCCACCTGCTCATTGTATCAACCTGTCTTTCCGAAAAACACAGAACGACCACAATCGTCAGGTGACTGTCAGTAGGCGCTGGAACAATCAACGGAAGGCCAAGTGATTGCCATCAGATGTGCCACTCATAAGGGGGGAAAGTATTTCTGCTTTCAGACCTGGAAGCCTTCTCCGCCTGACTTCCAGCAGATGGCGCCACCTGCTCGTTGTATCATCCCATCTTTCCGAAACACGGAACGACCATGATCATCGGATGACTGTCGATAGGCACCGGTCCAATCAACAGGAGTGTCATCAGATCTGCCACTCGTAAGGAAGGAAAGTATTTCTGCGGTCAGACCCGGACGCCTTCTACGTCTGACTTCCAGCAAGGGGCACCACCTGCTCGTTGTATCATCCCATCTTTCCGAAAAATGGAACGACCCCGATTGTAGGATGACTGTCTGACCCCGATTGTAGGATGATATGCGCCGGTCCAATCAACAGGAGTGGCATCAGATCTGTCACTCGTAAGGAAGGAAAGTATTTCTGCGGTCAGACCTGGAAGCCTTCTTCATCTGACTTCCAGCAGATGGCACCACCTGCTCCTTGTATCATCCCATCTTTCCGAATCATGGAACGACCACGATCGTCGGGTGATTCTTGATAGGCGGCGGAGCAATCAACGGGAGACCAAGTCATTGCCATCGGATCTGCACTTGTAAGGAGGGAAAGTATTTCTGCGGTCAGACCTGGAAACCTCCTACGTCTGACTTCCAGCAGAGGGTGCCACCTGCTCGTTGTATCATCCCGTCTTTCCGAATCACGGAACAACTCTCGATAGGCATTGGACCAATTGACGGGAGGCTAAGTCAGTGCCATCAGATCTCTCGATAGGCATTGGACCAATTGACGGGAGGCTAAGTCAGTGCCATCAGATCCGCCACTCCTGTCACTCGTAAGGGGGGAAAGTATTTCTGCGGTCAGACCTGGAAACCCTTCTCCAAACATTGAATGCTTGTTAGCGGGGAGAGAAAGGCTCTGTTGCAACCCAGGACTCTCTGAGGACTCGTCAAAGTGTATCCCTATCCCACTACGTTTTCATCTTAACATGTTTTTATTTTTCATCCCTCCTTGGGATAGGGTGGATCTCTTTTGAGGTCCCTTTCTCTCATCAACTTATAATAATTTTTACCACCACCCCCACCCCTCTGTTAGCCCCCGCCCCCCCATTTTCCCTTCAGACACCGTTGTGGCCTCGGAAGCTCCCTGAAAACCCCATATCCTTCTCTAATCCTTTTGACCCCGTTTTCCGTTGTGTTGTCGTTCTCCCCGCGGTAATCCCTTCAGTCACCGTTTCCGTTGTGGGTTCCACCCGCCCCCCAATTCGCATTCACACTCTCTTCCACTCCTCCAATCACTGAGCACTTATGAATAAACCAGTGGACGAGTGTGTTGTTGTGTGCATTGGGGTGGTAGAGGCACCCCATTTGGAGAGGTCGTGGGGGCCTCGAAAAGCGAGGGACAGGTTAGCGGCACTTCTGCGTGTCTGTGGATAAATTGATAAATATATCATCCACATATTTGCATTAGTCATCATCAACCTGAACATGTCGTACTCTTAAATAAAAAGATTTTGTGGGGTGGGTTCACTCCAGCTCCCTTGGGGGTCCAAATGTGGTTTCCTTTCTCAAATATAGTGTTCCCTCGCTACGTCGCGGTTCGCTTTTCGTGGACTCGCTGTTTCGCGGGGTTTTGAATAGTTGCCATTGCACGGAGCGGCATTCGAATCCCGCCTCCTGGAAACGATGGAGTGTGGAAGGGGGTTTTATATAACGTCCGTACTCCACGGATTTTCACTTTTCGCGGGTGATCCTGGAACGCAACACCCGCGAAAAGTGAGGGAACACTGTACTTCGTATTTGAACTCGATTTAAGAGCATCTTCTCAATTGATCCCCGTTTTCCCTGCCACCTTTTATTGAATTTTTATTAAACCTCACCACCAAAAAAAAAAATATCCAAGTGCCATTGTCCACCCTTTGTATTTCTCCCCATCCCCTTTAAAAATCAAGTCCCTGTATTGGTTAAGATTAGTGTTTGGGGCGGGGGGAGCTGTATTGCACCCCCCCTTCCTTTTGATACAATGGTGATGGTGGTGATGTAAAGAAATGTGCAATATATTTTTGCCCCTTGATACATTGGAGAGGGGGGCAAGGGTTGGCCACACAGTACACCCATCTGGAATTGAGAATTATAGGCAAAAATTATGTGCCCCCCCTTATCTCTTTGACCCCCTCCCATAGGAAATCCATGAGAGGTCAGTCATTGGATCAGTGTCTGATTTTTTCCCTGCTTCCTCTCGCCTTGCTTCCCTCTCTCCAAGTTGTCGTTACCCAAACCTGTCCCCCTAACCCAGGTATGGACAAACCTAGACTTGGGGTCTGGATGCGGCCCCTTGGGCCCTTTTCTCGGGCCTTCCTCCCTCTCGCCATCCTTTCCTTTCTTACCTCCTTCCTTTCCTTCCACCCTTATGTCCTTCCTTCCCTCTTCCCTCTCTCCCTCTTTCCCCTTTCCTTTTATCTTTCTTTCCTTCTCTCTTTCCTCCCCTTCATTCTCTTCTACCCTTTCATCCTGCCTTCTCTCTTTCCTTTCTCATTTTTCCTTCCTCTTTCTCTTCCTTCCATCCATCTTTTCTCTTTCCTCCCTTCTCTCTTTCCTCCCTCCATTCCCTTCCACCCTTTCATCCTTCCTGACTTCTCTCTTTGCTTTCTCCTTCCTCTTTCCCCTCCTTCCTTCCATCATTTCCTTTTGTCTTTCCTCCCTCTCTCCCTTCCTTACCTCCCTCTTTTTCCCTCCTGCCTTCCTTTTTTTGTCTTCCCTTCCCTCTTTCCTCCCTCCTTCCCACTCTCCTTCTTTCTTTTCTCTCTTTCCTCCCTTCCTCCCTCCCTTCCCTTCTACCCTTTCACACTTACTTCCTTCCTTTTCTCTTTCCTTCCTCTTACCCTTCCTTCCATTCTTCCCTTTTCTCTTTCCTTCCTTCTCTCTCTCCTCCTTCCCTCCATTTCCTTCCACCCTTTCATCCTTCCTTTTCTTTCCTTCCTCTTCCCCTTCATTCCACTCTTCTCTCTTTCTTTCTTTCCTTTCTTCTCTCTTTCCTTCCTCCCTCCCTCCCTTCCTTTCCTCCCTCTTTCTCCTCCCATCCTTCCCTTTCATCCTTCCTTCTCTCTTTCCTTCCTCCTTCCCTCCCTTCTTTAAGTCTCCGGGAAGCCAGTCCTCCTAGCAGAGAGTGCTAGCATGCGGCCCCCAAGTTAGAAAATGTGCCCATGCCTACCCTAACCCATTACCTGAGGTTTAGCACAGACCCCCCCCCCCCCAAAATTGGCTGTGTTTTGTAAGTTACCGAAGTTGCAACCATGTTTTGTTAGTTACCCAAGTTGCCACTGTAAGGGTTTTCCCATCTCGTTGGCTTGCT